GCTTTTTATTATATTCTAATATTTAGTTAGCTTTAGTTTATATTAAACATTTTTATATCCTAACAAAGAATAAGTCTTATAAGCCAACGCTGACTTTATTATTGTTCTTGACAGTACTGTAACAGGAATATGATTGCATAAACCAGAGGGTCTGTAAATTTCACATCATCATTCTGAAGTCAAATGTGACCATGTTCTTCAATTAAATAGTTTGTAGACTTCTGACATTTAGTACAGTCAATCACTTCTGACAGCTATAATCCGCTCTATCTTAAAGCATATTCTTGATAATTTTTCTTGAGATATCTGCCCTTACAAAATACTCCATGTCTACAATACTTATGGAATAGGATTGACTCTTACATGTGGCTATGCACTAGTAAGGCTCATTTAGGTGTTAAATTTAGCGAAGTAATGAAGACTTGGACTAAACAAACAAAAAATATTATCCAACATTCATATTCAGAAAGCTGAGGGTCTGGTATTTCTATGTTTATATATGGTAGTTCATTGCATATCCCTGGGACTTGCTTTTCTTCTCTCCATACAACTCAGATATTCTTTTCCTTTACAACAACTAGACCCTTTATTTCTCTCCAGATTTTTCTCATTTGTTTTTCTATCTTGTTGCCTTTATTATTTTTAATTGTTTTTCTATCTTGTTGCCTTTATTATTTTTAATTCAAAAAATGTATACTTTTCACCTTTTTTTTAATTTGTAGAGTTTCTAATACTTATATGTGGTCTGTAAAAAGTAACGTTTTTTTCAGGGAATGGTGATTATTAATTCCACAGCATCGAAATGGAATGTATCATCTCTAAGCAAAATATAAGTTCACATACTCTGCATAAAGACAACTATTGTTAGCTTCACTCAGGAACATGTTTTATGGGAGGGAAATTTTTAAGTAGGCTATTCAGAAATATTCTCATTCTTTTTTTAATATCTTTTGAGTTGTGTATATGAATAGAATTGTAAGGAATTTACAGTGATTCATTCCTGGTTTTAGCTATCTGGCATTCTGTGAAACCATGCATGTTAAAACCTCTTAACAGCTCTCAGCAAATCTTTTGCACTATAGTTTGTCTCCTGTACCTATTAAAAACTTCAGGTGCTTTTTTTCAAGCTCTCTCACTAACAAGTAATCCCTATATATAAAAGCCTAATATGCAAAGTGTCCCCTCAAGAGTTTGACCAGGAGACCAGGCATTTGATCGCTCACTATGACGTGTGCTAAATACCAGAGGGTGGCATGGGATGAAGGGTGACCCTGGTTGGCAGCTGGCAGCCTCTAAGGACCCAACCTATGCATGAATTTTGTGCATTGGGCCTCTAGTATTACATGGTTATTAAAATATGAGAACTAACTACAAAATCTGAAAGTTGCAAATGGTGTTGTAAATCACTAAGCAATTAGCATGAGATTTTTTAAATGACTGAGTACAAATTCTGAATTATGAAGTTATTATCTAATAACCCAACAAGTGATGTGAATAAATCTATGATAATATGAAAATTATCAACCACTGAAACACTCTTTTCTACAAGCAGGTCTATGGATCCTCATGCTAATGCACTTAGATTGATAAACTACAAGCAGTTTGTGAAAGCTTCATTTATTCCAGTTGCTGAGGATTGTGCTTAGAGAATTTGTCACCCAAATGATAAGCAAATTGAAATATACCACTTGTTTTCATTTAATAGCAGGCAGGTTTTCACCAGCTTAGACTCATTCTTATTATTATCCTTTGAAACTAATTACCAGAAAATTAATTTTATTATTTTCTTTTATTTTCTTTTTTCTCTTTGTCCCTATAATGGAAGACTCAAAGCCATCTACATACACTTTGAAAATATGTCGAATATAATCTCCTGTCAACTGTGTGGTTATAAAGACCTCCTAGTCCTTGATTCTGCTGCAATTCATTATGTACTCAGCTCTCAGAATTACTTTCTAATTATGCTATTTCCCTTTCATAGTGCTCCAGTTCCCTGCCATGTAGAGCAGAAATTTTCATATGACTTCAATGCCCTCCATTATCCTGATCCACTTAGGATCATTTTTTGTTGTTGTTGTTTATATCCTATATAATAAAAGCCCAGCAACCAAATGGCAGAATGACTACAATGACTGGTCAACCAGTCACTATGATGAACACTGACCACCAGGGGGCAGACACTCAATGCAGGAGCTTCCCCTGGTGGTCAGTGTGCTACCGCTATGGGAGCACCCCCTGGCTGACCAGGATGAGCAGCTGCTCCTGCTGTGAACCAGGGCTGCAATTGTCACTTCCTCTCCCCAGGCTCCTCCTTCACTGCCCGCAGGCCGCAGAATAGGGTCCCCAGGCTTGCAGAGCTGACCTCAGAGACAGGGAGGTGGGTTCATGGCTGCTGCAGAACTGGGGCCTACGCCGCCACCTGTCAGTGCTGTTGTCCCTGGGCCCAGCCCTGACCAGGTCCCTTGGAGAGGCAAGTGCTCTGGCTCCACAGAAGATGCTGGACTAGGGAGCAGCCACTCAGAGGGCGGGTCCACAGCCACTCAGCTGACCGGAATGAGCAGTGCTACCTCAGCAGGCTGATCCCTGCAGGCCACACCCCACGAGCAGTACACAAATCCCATGCACCAGGCCTGTAGTTGCAATATAACAGCCATACAGAAAAAAAAAAAAAGATTAAACCATTTATCAATGATTAATAAGTAAAGTCCACCTAATCACTGTCCAGAATAAAAAATATTATATTGTCATTACCACGGTAGTTATGTTTCCTCGTGTATGTTTCTCTCCATATCCTTAATTATCAGACTGCTTTTCTTCCTGCTTCTTATCTCTTTACTCTTTCTTTGGGATTTTCTATTTGTTTATTCCCTTGTACCCAAGGTTTTAACTCTGAACTATAACAGATTACTAATTCTTTCTCCAGCTATTTCTATTCTGCTGATAAATTCAGTCATTAAGTTGTTAACTTTTATCATGATCTTTTCTAATTCTTAAATTTCTATTTAGTTCTTTTTAAATTCTGCAGTGACACATCCTATAGTCTAATTTTCTATCAATTAAAAAAAATCCTCTTTAAACATAATAAGCATGTTTATAATATGCATCTGAAAATTTAGTGTCTGAGTTCTCAAACATCTATTTCTGTTGGATGTTATTTCTCCTAGTTCTCTATATGAAATGTAATCATGTATGATACCTTGGTCTTTTGATTTGAACATTATTCAAACAACTATTTGAAGCAGGGGTGGGGAATGTCTGGCCCGAGGGCCTTATAAGGCCCACAAAATCACTTGGTCTGGCCCTGCCATGGCATTAGAGGTGAGTTAATAAAAGTTTGACCACATATAGCAGGTTAATTTTTAAATTGATAATTTTTTAGGGCCCACAAATGATGAGGTAAATATTCAAATGGCCCTTGGAAGAAAAAAGGTTCCCTATCCCTGAAATTTTAAAGTAATAAAGTGTGATCTAAAATGAAGATACTTTCTTCCATAGAGGATTGTATTTTATTTTCTGTCATGCATCTGGAGTCTCTACCAGTCTCATGTCAACTTAAATTGCATTAAAATTTGAGACAAATTATGTTATCCTTATCCTAGATTTTAATTCATAGGTTGAAAAATTCGAGGTCACAGGAGATAAAGTTGAAGTAAGTAATTATGATGCCTTCCTCTTCCGTAACGTGTTGTGTAACCTTGAGTTGAAACTTTTGTTTCTAATTTTTCTTATCTGTTAAAATAATACAAAGTGGGTAATCCCAAAATGGTGATTTTCTTTTTCTTTTAGAGTCTATTTTCTTTCCCTGGTGTTTTGTTTGTCCCAGTTATGTTGTACATTGCTTTTGTTTTGCTTTGTATTTTTTGACTACATGACTTTTCCCAATACTGCGTTAAAATTATTTTGAAAGTGGTACTCATGAGTTTTTACCGTATCTCTCACTATGTTGAGTAGCTGCTCAATGCATGTTAAACAGATGAGTCAATGAATGAATAAACATTGAAATAGGTGCACAGATAAAAATGATTAAACCAAGCTTGGTATTGTTGCCTTAGAAAAGGAACAAATTTCTTTTCTATTACAGGTTCCAAAGCTTCACTGACAGTTATTTAAGAGTATAGCACATACAACTATGTATAGTACATAATACTTGATAATGATAATAAATAACTATGTTACTTGTTTACGCACTTACTACAATATACTTATTATTTTATAGTGTACTCCATATACTTACATAAAATATGTTTTCTGTAAGAGTATGCCACATTATAACTGCAGCAGCCTCATACATTATGTATTTACCAAGTGTGTTGATTGTATCATTTTTTCCTGTGCTTGATTTAATTTTGTGTTGTTTTGTACAGTAACATACTATAGAGGCTTGTACCATATAGCCTAGGTCAGTGGTCGGCAAACCACGGCTCACGAGCCACATGCGGCTCTTGGGTCCCTTGAGTGTGCCTCTTCCACAAAATACCAGGTGCGGGTGTGCATGTATAATGCGATTTGAAACTTTGTGGCCCATGCACAGAAGTCAGTTTTTGGCCTGGACGAGTCTATTTTGAAGAAGTGGCATTAGAACACTCAAGGTGCCAAAGAGCTACATGTGGCTTGTGAGCCCACGCTTTACTGCCCACTGGCCAAGGTATATAATAGGCTAAAGCATCTAGGTTTGTGCAGGTATAGTTCATGATGTTTGAACAATGACAATATTGGTCTAGGGCATATGTCTCAGAACATATGTCTGTCATTAAGTGGTATATCTATAATTAAATGAGAGCTGACGAGAAATTGGGTAATGTAATTAAACATTGTTTAGTAATATGCTACATTACCAACACACAACTTATATTAACAACACACAGTTATATTTCTAAGTTAATTATCTCAAAGTGCAAAAGCAATTTTTAGACTATAAGCATAACTCTTAGAAGAATTAATGTTTGCTTTTTAAGGAGCAATGTAGATTGACATCATGGATATCTCTTATTTCCCTGCAGGAAGAACCTTTTGTAATGGTCTCTGAAAATGTCCTGGGTAAGCCCAAGAAATACCAGGGCTTCTCCATTGATGTTTTGGACGCCTTATCTAACTACCTTGGATTTAACTATGATATTTATGTTGCACCGGATCATAAATATGGAAGCCCACAGGAAGATGGGACATGGAATGGCTTGGTAGGAGAACTAGTCTTCAAGGTAAGCATTTTCTTTGTTATTTATTTGTGATGTATCTAAAGGTTGAACTATAACCCCCAGAATCTAATTTAATATAAAATAAATGCAAAGCAAAGTATTAAGTGGTGGTGTTGAATGCCAAAATCTTAGCCAATACTATTTTATGATATTTGTTGAAAGAAAAATGAATGACAAAATAAAGTTAGATTGTAGAGTATTTCCTCCTAGAGGCCTGGTGCACAAATTTGTGCACAGGTGGGGTCCCTCATCCTACTGTGATTGAGGACTATTAGAAGGCTGGCCGGCCAGCAGGAGAAATCCCAGGAGGTGGACTGACCAGTTGGGGGGCCTGCCAATAAGGGGGAGAGACTGCAGAAGGTTGGCTAGGGGTTTAGGGAGATTGGCTGTGGGGACACACTGACCACCAGAAGGCAACTCCTGCATTGAGCATCTGCCCCTTGATGGTCCGTGCATCTCATAGTGACTGGTCAGCCGGTTGTTCCAGTCATTCTGGTCATTTAGTCATAATGGTTGCTTAGGCTTTTATATATATAGATTAGGGGTGTCGAACTCAATCAGAGAAGGGGCCAAAATCTAAAATCCAGCCTAAATTGCGGGTCGAATGGTTTACTGAACAGTCATAAACTGTCAATGTGATGGAAACGCAGCGGAGTGCAGTGATGACAGCGCGGTGCGGGCCACATTGCAAGGCCTGGCGGGACGGATTTGGCCCGCGGGCCTTGTGTTTGACACATGTGATATAGATGATAGAAATGTATCTAGAACAAAGACTTACCTTTGCCAAATATAAACTTCAAACATTTTGTCAGTATATGGTACATGATGAAGTCACAATTCAATATAATTCGTGTCATTGTTTTCTTTTAAAAACACAGTGTTATTTGTAAAAAGTAGATAAAATCCTGATCACTTAAGAACTAATCATTTTTACTTTTAGGATATAAATATATAAATAAGATAAATCTATTTTTACTGATATTTTTGTCCTTGGCCTTTCAATTATTGGAGAGGTGTTTAAATTTCTGTATTTCTATTTTTAAATATTTAAAAAAGTTTCTTTATTGTTTAAAATTATACAGATATACTCTTTCCCTCCCCACCTACCCTTACCCCAGGCCTTTACCACACTATTGTCTGTGTCCACGGATATAAATTCTTTGGTTAATCACCAACCCTATCACCCCCCACCTGCCTTCTTTCTATGATTCATCAGTCTGTTCCTTGTTTTTCTCTGATTGGCTTATTCCACTTAGCATAATACTCTCCAGGTCCCTACATGTTGTCTCAAAGGATAAATGTAAGTTATGAAACCATAAAAATCCTGGAAGAAAACATAAACTTATCTGTCTTAATCTATATTTCTGTAGGTTTGTTTTATTTTTTAAGTTATTTTATTAATTCATAAACATTTATAATCATAATGTCTGCCTGGTAAATTGTTAAATAGTTAGGTTTACGTCTATGATTTACTATTTGATTTATATGTGTCATATTTTCTTCCTATGTTCCTTCTTTTTTTTCTTTCCTTTGGGCTAATTGAATGTTCTTAGTGTTTGATTTTATCTTCTCTTTTGACATTTTAGTTATATTTCTTTGTAGTTTTATCTGTCTGTGGTTAAAACATAATATGCACTCTTAACTTGTCACATTCTATCTAGATATATTGATATTTACCACTTCAGATTTAAAAAGTAATAAATTTACAGCAATGTAATTCAATTTACATCCACCTTACCCTTTGTGCTATTGCGGCCATATATTTATATTTTATGAACTCCACAGTAAAATGCCATAGTCTTTTATTTAAACAATCATTTGTCTTTCAAAGGTACAAATAGGAAACGAAAGACAGTTTCCAATACCTGACCACTCATCTGCTAGTTTTGGGGCTCTCTTTGCCTTTCTACACATGTGAGTTCTTACCCAGTATGATTTATTTCAACCTAAAGAACTTCCTTTACCATAACTTGAAGTGCAGCCCTACAAGTGGCATCTACTCTCAGCTTTTGTTTACCTTAAAATGTCTTTTTGTACCTTTGTTTTTGAATGGGATTAGTCATATACATTAAACTCTGAGTTGACAGGTCTTTTTTTCTAGATACTTTTTGTTGTGGTGATTTCAAGAAGGGACAATGTTGGTTTTGATTAATATCTAACCAGAGCACTGAGAATCTCATAAGATAATCACTTATAATCAAAATATACTTTTCTTCATAATTTTAAATTGTCTAAGGAGAACTTATAGATAAAATCCTATTATTTATAAAATCAAGACTGGCAATTTTAAATTAAGGGCAACTTTTTATTTTAAAAATCAAAATAAATTTAACATTCAATAGTTTTTATGCAATAACAAATGTATAAAAATTGAGATATAATTGACATACAAAATTATATTAGTTTCAGTTTTATAACATAATGATTTCCTATATGTATATATTGAAAAATGATCACCACAATAAGTCTAGTTAATATATATCACAACACGTAAAATTTTTTTAAAGATTCTTTTATTGATTTTGAGAGAAAGAGTAAAAGAGAGGGAAGAGAGAGAGAAAACATCCATCTGCTGCCCCTGCACATTCCTTCCTGGAAATGAGTCCAGGACCTTAGCATGCACCCTAACCAGAATTAACTGGCAGCCTTTCAGTGCATGAGATGTCCAATAACTGAGCCAGCGCATAAAAGTTTGTTGATGTTGTTTGTTTTGTTTTGTTATTTTTATATTAGAGGCCTGGTGCATGAAATCTCAACATGGGTGGGGTTCCTAGGCATGGCCAGCATCAGGGCTGATCGGAGCCAGGCCAATCAGGGCCTGGCCAGAGAGGAAGTGATGGCCGCTGGGCTGGGTGCAGAAGGAATGGACAACGGATGCCGATGCCACCATGATTGGCCACCCGCCATCATGCGGTTCTCCACCTCCCCCCTCCTTTCCTTGCCACTGTCACTGCACTGCCACCATGGCTGATGGGTGGTGGGCTGAGGGGCCTGCTAGCTGGTGGAAGGAAAGGGCATGGGAGTTTGGCTGCTGGCCCCAAGGAGGGAGCCAGCCCTCAGCCACCCTGGGAAAGGGGCCATGTCCGCTGCCACCCACCCCCGGTTCCCTGTCCCAGGCCAGGGGACAGCCTGGGTTTAGTGATCAGGGCCTACCAGCTGGAGGAGAAGGATTGTGGGAGGTTGGCCAGCCAGTGGAGGTTGGCTTTGGGAGCTCACTGACCACCAGGTGGCAGCTCCTGCATTGAGTGTCTGCCCCTTGGTAGTCCTTGCACATCATAGTGACCATTTGCTCTGGCCATTCCAGTGGTTCCGGTCATTTGATTGTTCCAGTTTCTTAGGCTTTTATATATACTAGAGGCCCAGTGCACAAAATGCATGCAAGAGTAGTCCTTTCCTCCTGCTGCTGGCACCGGCTTCCCTCTGGCACCTGGGGCCTGTGCTCTCCTCTGGCACCTGGGACCCGGCCTTCCCTGGCATGCCCACCTTCATCCAGAAGGTTGTCTGGAAAGACATCCAATATAGTTAGCATATTTCACTTTTATTATTATAAATATTCATCACTTTAAAGATGACATTCTATTGTATTTTGCCAAATATTATTTATGATGAGAAGTTGACCGTTATTTATACTTTTGTTTCTTTTTATTGTTGTTGTTTTTGTACTTTAGTGTGGGATTGCCTTTTTTAAAATTCCCTTTTCAGTTTTTTAAATGCTTAATTTTTCTTTTTATTGAATTTATTGAGGTAACATTATTTTATTTTATTTTATTTTATTTTTTAAATATATTTTATTGATTTTTTTACAGAGAGGAAGGGAGAGAGATAGAGAGCTAGAAACGTCGATGAGAGAGAAATATCGACCAGCTGCCTCTTGCACACCCCCTATTGGGGATGTGCCCGCAACCAGTGTGCATGCCCTTGACCGGCATCGAACCTGGGACCCTTCAGTCTGCAGACCGATGCTCTACCACTGAGCCAAACCGGTTTCGGCAAGGTAACATTGTTTTAAAAAGTTATACAGGTTCAGGTGCACAATTCTACAACACATCATCTCATCTGTATACTGTATTAACCATGCAAAAAAACAAGTCAAATCTCCATTTGTCACCATTCATTTCTCTGTCCTCTATCCTAGATCATACCTCTTGTCCCAACAATCACCACATTGTTGTCTGTAACCATAAGTTTTTTCCTTTTTTTTAATTTTTATTTTTGCTCAATCCTCCTTTCTATCCAGCACCTCATCCCGCAGCTGTCAGCCTGCTCTCCATCTATGAATCTGTCTCTATTTTGATTGTTAGTTTATTTGTCCAATAGATTTCACATATGAGTGAAATCATATGCTAGTTTTCTTTCTCTGATTGGTTTATTTCACTTGGCATAATGCTCTGTAGAACCATCTATTCTGTAACAAATGGTAAGATTTCCTTATTTTTTTATGGCCTAGTAGTATTTTAGAGTATAAATGTATGACCTCTTTGTATGTTTAACTATAATGTGTCTAAATGTTGTTTTAATTTTATTTAATCATGCTGGGTATGTATTTTACAAAGTTTAATAAATGTTGACAATTATTTCTACAAATTTTTTTCTACTGCCTTTCCTTTCTTCTCTCAAGTTGAAGCTCAGAGAATATTTAATTTAGACCTCTTAATGTCTCTAAGTTCCAGAGGTCTCATTTATTTTATTAAAATTCTAGAGGCCCAATGCACGAAATTCATGCAAGAGTAGGCCTTTCTTCCCTCAGCTGCTGGCACTGGCTTCCCTCTGGCACCTGGGATCCAGGCTTCCCTCTGGCTGCCAACACCAAGGGCCCTGGCTTCCCTCCAGGGCTTCGTCCGAAAGCTCATCCGGAAGGATGTCTAGAAGGACGCCTGGTTTAATTAGCATATTATACTAATTTTTATTATTATAAATGTTTACTCTCTAACCTTTAGATGGATAATTTCTCTTGATCTGCTTTCAGGTTTATGGAGTCTTTCCTTCCAATTTCCAATTTTCTT